TGAATTACACAACAGCTCAGTCACAAATTACAAAATGAACTTGATGGTTTTAAGTAAAGGGGAAAAATAATCTACAGTTCCCTTCAGTACAGGTTTATACAGGAAAGATCATTCTCTCAACATATCTTCTAAGGCTGTGAAATGGCAAAGTTTTAAATTTTTTAATATTTTAATTTATTCTAATTTATGCTTTGATATTTTGGATCCTACAAAGCAGCAACTACTGGTCACTCGTTTCTCACCTTTTACACCACAACCCTGCTGAAAGGGAAACTGAGTTGAAGCCATTTTGCCCAAAAGCTCCTTCTCTACAAATGGAATTGATTTAAATGACAGGACGAGAGTCCTGAGTGAGGCCTCTCCCGGGGAGGAACCCTTGCCCACAGTCCAAGCAAAAGGGCAGTTATTTTCCAGCTCTCCCAGAGGCAAAGCTTGGAAGCAACAGTGCCCAAGACTGCTCTCCAGTTACTTCAACATCTTCACTTCTGATCCTGAACCAAGTACATGCTGAATGAAATTGAGTGTTCAAATACTTCAGAACTTGGAGCCACACAGGTTCTGTTCCAGTTTAGGAAGGCAGGTGGGTTTGTTTTCTTAAATGTCAATAGTTTAGCACAGCCCTAATGGTAGGGTTGGACAGGACAGTGCAAACTATATGGGTTTCAATGCTTTTGAAAGCATAAGAGATAATGTTGTTGGAAGTCAGACTCTAAAATCAAGTTAGAGTAAGATCTTTTTGAAAAGAAATGTATTTTCTTCATAAATACAGTACAATTACATTTTACAATGTCTTTTTTACTTTCTAGACATAAAAATGCTAGCTTTTAAAAAAAGAGTTCCTATACAAATACATGAAAAGAGACATCCCCCCCTTCCCCACAGGCCCCCACCCCTGCCAGGCAGCTAAACCACTGGCTGCAGCGTGAGGAAGCACAGTGAATCCTAGGCTAACTTCTGCCAGCAGGGAGAGGAAAACAAATTATCTCCACATTTTGCTAGTCCTGACTGCACCAAGTTGTTATCACCACCATGTTATGAGCAACAGCAAAAGCAAATAATCTGGCCACGGCTGCCAGGATTCACTGTACGGATGTCCGGGCTCACGGGACGCAGTTGTTACACCATTGTGGGCTCCTGGAGCAGGAGGTGTCCTTGGAAATGGTTCTGGCCTAAAACTATGCAAGTCCCCTCGCTCAGGCAGCCTCAAAAACGAAGCAAAGCTAACGCTAGCTTTCAGCCTCTAACTCTCCAAATTTGCCACCAGAGGCAGAGACCACACAGAAAGAATTCCAGCCTCTAATGGTACTTGCTGACCTCAGCCACCCTTTGCAGACTCCTCGGGAGCAAACTCGCAGATCCCCCTGAGCCCTCAAGGCCACAGACCAAAAATTGCTGCTCTAGTCCCCACAGGAGTTGCCAGGTAGAAGCAATTTTAAGTTAATAATGACATTAGACCAGATGGGAACAAAAGCCTTTAGATCTCAGGCAGTTCCCCAAGTTGTCAAATCCCAAAGGAACTGCCCAAGGGAAGGGCTTGTGAGTTTGGCCATTCTGTAAGCAGTGAAGGGAAAGACGAAAAAAGTAACTACATTTGATGTTCTTGTTTTGCTCTACAAAGAAGAATATGTGGCTTTCTTTATAAAGCTACAATTCTGCTTCTAATACCCGAGTTTAAGAAAAACTCTTAGTCTAAAATTTTGGTTTGCAAAGAAGGTCATTGCAATCATTGTGTTAAAAATCACTTTCTACTAGAAACAAGCCCTACAGAAGGAAAAGGAACTAGGTGTGCAGTTTGTCTCCTTAAAGCAGTTTCTTTTTAAAAACAAAATAAAAATATGTACAGAGAGACTGAAGACTATAGTACACATCTTCCTCAAAGCAAGCAGCTCTTTTACATTCACATCAGGATGGCTCTGAGGAAGCTTGAGGGAAGGAATACATTCCTGATGGCTCCTAGTTTGTCAGCACAGGAAGGTGACCTCAGACTTCCATGTTAAAAGTTTTGGGGGTTTTTCTCTTGGAAGAAATCAAAACTACAAAATAGGGCAAAGAACCAGACTTAATGTAAAACTGCACCATTTTCCAAATGTACTCCCATGAGCAGAGAACTGCTAAGGCTCCTGCAGTTCTGATGGCTTGGACTGACAGACAGCCTGGCTTCCGCTTTTGGAGGAGAGAGTTGCTGTCCATAATCTGTATTTTATTCACAGAAATATCCTTTTTTCTTTGTAAAAATAGATTACAGAGGCATTCAGTTTGAAAAAAAAAACCCAACAAGCTGCAAAGAGGATATACAAATTATTTTTACCTTGTCCTGCTGACCAGCCAATATTGATTGGGGAAAAAAATCAGTTTTCTAAAACAGATTTTATCTGCAAAGAATCCAAATTTTCCTAGACACTATAGAATTAATGTGAATCAAGCAAGTTGGAACTGTTTATCTAGAGTCCTACAGTTGCAAAACTTCTTTCCTACTGCTGAGTAGTTGTAAAGATGGAATATGTTTCCTGTCTTTAAAGGAACAGAAAAGCACTTTAACTCCCCCTCTCTCACACAGACAATGGCATTTGAGCTCCCTTATTGTTAATTCTAAGCTCAAACCACAAAATATAACAGAAAATTATACCAAAATGGCAGAAAGACGTTGAGCTAATGAGAAAAGCTTCTCCTGCATTTTCAACTGCCAAGGAGGAAGAGAAATCACTTCAAATCATCCAGAGTAAGCATTACTTCATGTATGGGATGGAATGAAGTAAAGGGAAATAAATTAAAGATGTTCTCAGGGTGAGAACAAGGAGGCTGTGAACAGTTTGTCTAGAAAAGGGTAGAGAAGTAATTCAGATTATTAAAATACACTTAGAGAAGGTCTTCTGCACTGTCTGGAAAGACATTGTCACATCTGGCAGAGACAGTCAAAGCCTTGAAGAGCAGCTCTGAAGTGTCTGAAGTAGCAGTGGTGGAAGGGAGTTTCTGCTGCCTGTTACAGGAGTCCCTGGTAAAGCCAGGCTATTTAGACTTAGATCATATCTTACCATATGCATTTTGCCATCTCTAACTTCTGTAGGTCTGGGAATATAGCCTGAAGAACACTAACAAGCAGTAAATCAGCTAGAAATGATGCAGAGTGTTTCCCCTGTTTTTTTAGGTGGTTATCACTAGAAGACAAACAATCTAACTCACCACTGGCCTTCAGGCACTGCTGAGTTGCCCATGAAGCAGACAGAAGGCACCTCCTTCCACCTCCCAACCCTCTAGTGTGAAACTCATGTTAGATCCATTGATCTGGTAAGGCTACTGCAATGGGGACACCACGTCAGTAGTGCCAGCTAAGTAGGAAATAAGGACATGCACTAACTGTTTGATGATTAATTGCTGATTTCCCTTATTTGTGGGGTGAAATGATCTGAAATTAAAATCTGGCTACTCTAATGCTGCACAGAAAGCTGAGACTAGCCATGTTGCCAACATGTGACCACTGGCTAATTATATATTTAACATTCAAGTAAAAAAAATTGTTTTAACAGAAATATTGAAGTGTAATAATAAAATGCAAAGACAGTAAAAAAAACAACTCATTTACTTCTATTGGTCTTAATATCTCATCATAGCATCTGCAACCAAAGCATTGCTGCATCTGTGCTAGTTCCCAAAAATCTGAAAGTGAACCTGGTAACTTAAACACGTAACTTCCTTTTGCAGTGCCTCTAGGACTTTAAGCTGCTCTCTCCAGTTGGAAGAAGAAAAAAATATTTTGTAAGGAGAGAATTTGCCATCTGAAGCTTTACACAGAGCTCCTCTTTAAAGCTCTACCTCTGAGGCTTTGATACAAGAAAAAAATAATCTAGTATCTTTAGGGAGGACATTTGAAATACACAACCTGCTATGAAGAAAGATCTCCACAGATGCAGTAAATGAGGACAGGCTGGAGAGGGTCCAGAGAAGGGACAAAGATGATCAGAGGACTGGAGGACGTGCCATATGAGAAAAGAAGGCTTCAGGGAGACCTTATTACAGTGTTCCAGTACTTAAAGGGTGACCACCAAGAAGATGAAGACTCCCTGTTTACAAGGAGTCACATGGAAAAGACATGGGGTAATGGGCACAAGTTGCTCCTGGGGAAATTCCAATGGGACATGAGGTAAATTTTTCACCATGAAAACAATCAAACATCGGAATAGTCTCCCAAGGAAAGTGGTGGATTCCCCCACATTTGACAGTTTCAAGTCTCAGCTTGACAGGCTGCTGAGCCTTCTCACTTAAACTATAGTATTACCTAGAAAGGCTGGACCTTCCAACCTGGCATTCTATGATTCTATGAGTAAGTTGCTAACATTGAAAAGCAACAGGGCTTGCCACTTGCACTATGGTAAATTCGGAGTAGTTCCACAAAAGCCAATGGAATTGTAATGGCAGAAATCTGATCTAACAGATCAGGACTGAGCCTGTAAACTCTCCTTTTTTAATTTACATAAAACATGAACACAATATATTATTTACTATCCACTGTATAAATTATTGAAAAAGTACTTAAGTATAAAAGTGTGGAAAAACTTTCAATGAAACTAAAAATGTGAAATGCGACATTAATCACCGGAGTCATTTTTTTTAATAAAGAAATAACACAGTTTGGGGAGTAAAAAAAAGTATATTGAAAACTTTCCAGCCTATGAATGTGAAATACCTATTCTGAGTTCTTACACTGAGACAAGGTATTAAAAGAAATCTCCCTTGACCACAGATTAAATTTATAAAAGCTTTTCAGAACACCTGTATTCTAAAACCATTAAGCAATGCTCACAACTAAGTCCCTGGTGCTGATTGTTATGCCCATCTTCCTGCACTCAAGCTAGACATTCACCAACACCTGTGAGAACAGGTACTTCACTTTAAGCGACTAAAAATACTGAAATATCACATGAAGTGCACCTAAGTTCTTGGTTTTTCTCCAGATGTTACCAGATCCAGTATTTAAACAATAAAGGGGGAAACTTTCAAAGAACAATGTTACGGGTTTTTTATAATTTAGAACAAATTATAAATTAACCCGTTCATACTTTTGAGACATAATATACAAGAGCAAACAGCTGAGTGTTCTTTTATTACTCAGGTACTACAATTTTTTCCCAAGAAAAATGTCTTTTAAAAATTTCTTGCTACTGTATCCCAGTTCAGATCCTGGTCCAGCCTTTCAGATGAGGTATTCTACCATCTCTCCATCTGGGAGGTCCTGCCCCATGCTCTGAACAGGGGCTTTTCTTTCAAGGGTGCTGGAGTGGAAGAGCTGCCCATCTACATGATGAAGAAAAAACAAGAGACACACAATCACAGCTGTTACTTCAGTGAGGTTACAGAAATTATGTTAACATTTTAAAAGTAATCTTCTATCATTGGCCAAAACACAGCTAACAACCCCTTATTAATTTAAAAAAATTCAATTCTTCATGCATGTAGCCAGGCAAATAGAGATATTTTATCAAATTCCCTTTGGCTATCTCCCACTGATACACAACGGCATATAAAACTGGAGTGACTGCATTTAAACCAATGTAGCCAGGGCAGACTTTCACAAAACCTGTTCCCCTGTCTCCCTCAATACCCATTAAATAGCATAGCAGGGGCAAGATGCACAGCAGGCCAGCCAAATCCACTCTTCCATAAAGAACAACATAATTGCAATGTGTCTGTAAGTAGAGAGGCAAGGTTGTGTAATCTGCATTGATTTGGCAGAGTGGGCTGGAAAGTGAGCAGCTCTTGCCAGCTCAAGCTCTGTGGGAAGCAAATTCAGCTTCTGTGACAGTCACTGTCAACTGGATCTACTCGTGCCAGCGCTGAAGTCGGTCCTCTGACTGGGACAGTACAAAAACCAGCTTTATCACAATAGTTACCTTTCCTTTTTCTCCCTCCCCTTTATCTGAGTCCACTTTGCTTGAATACTCACTAAAATGCAATGGCCAGTTTCTACAACCCATTTTCATAAGCTGTTTTAACCCCATATACTACTCACAACTTACTCCAGAGTAGACACGTACTCAGAGACACTATCCTGGATTTGCGTATACTGGCTCCAGTTCTTAAATCTTGCTATTCCTCTCTACCCAGTGTGTCCAAGGCTATGCTACCACTTTTTTTGTGTTTTTTTTTTCCTTCAGAGAATTTAAAACCTCTCAGAACATTGTCAAGCTTGACTCTGAAATCTATCTGTCCTCACAAATACTAAACCCAGTTTTCCTGAATGAAAAAAGGGACAGCAAGGCCTGCCCCACGGGGCAAAACTGATGATGAGCCACTGGCAGGGGCCTCTTTGGGAAGGAAGCTGAGCTCTGTTACCTGTTTTGTCTGCACTGTAGGTCAGGCTGGTACTGGGGAGTCGTCCTGTTGTGGAAGCTGCAGTGGGAGGTGCAGTTTTGTTTTGCTCGTTCCCCCGGTCAGTCTGGGTGCTGCAGTCTCTGCTGCCTGTTTTTGAGTGGGCTGAGAGCAATGGTGTGGAAGGAAGGACAGGAGACGGGGTGGAGGGAATGGATTCAGAGCGATACTCAGTTCCCAGCAGAACACCTGTGTGGAAAAAGGGAAGGATATTTTGCAATCCCAGAATAACAACTGGCATCAGTTTTGCACCCCTCTGTAGTACTTGCTCTAGGGCCTGGATAGCACTGGTTTACCATTTTATAGCACCTTTCACCTCTGGGTGCTGAAGTACAAGAATAATAACAATATCCTCATGTTGCTGCATGCAAAGATACACAAGTGGGCACTAGTTAACCTTACTACTTTGTCTCTAAGCAGTGGCCCACCTGCACACTCAGAAATCAGCTGAAACAGATTCTAATTCACATTTCAGGGTGTTTCAATCCCACAGGGAGGGCCTTCGGGCCTAACTTTTGCCCCCCCTCACCCCCCAAAAAAAATGTAATCTAAGTTTTGCTTTTTTACAACTCATTTTCTCTAACTATGGTGTTGAGTCATTCTAGACAAAAGTCATGTTAGTGTAGGCACAACTCTACAGGACAGAAATCCTGATTATCTCCGCTCCTATTCAAGTAGACTTTCCACCTTCAGACAGTTGTAACAACCCAGCTGAAAGTAAGCTCTTGGGAACTCCAAAAACTGGAACTCAAATATCCTGGCATTCAGGTACCAAATTGGGAATAAAGGCTTATGTATTTTAATGACATCAGAAGGCACTATTTCCCAAGAGTGCTTAAAACAAGCAGTTTTTCCCAATGTGTCCGTCTTGCTTGCAGTCAGCTTTACTGCAGGCCAGGCCAGCTGATCTGTCTGTCCACACATTTTCTTCCTCTGCTGCTCTTGCTTCTCCCTTTAAGCAGTGACTCGTGTATCTGCATTGCCACTGTTAATTAAAAATTACCCAGGCTGCCTTTCCAGCTCTTGTCCTCCCTCTTCTCCTCCAGGATGGGAGTGCTGCTCAGGGTTGAGGAGTGGGACAGCAGGCCCGAGCCAGCGTTCGATATGGACATGAGTGACTTGGCAGGTCTCATTGAGGAGATCTGGTCCGTCTTACCAGGCTCCTTCCGGGAGCGCTGCTGCAGGACTTTGATCATGGCATCCTTCTCAATGATCTGAGCGTGCAGAGTCTTGATCCTTTTTGAGAAGTACAAAGAACAATAAAGTATTTGTACTGCTGTCTCCTTGGACTGAGGCCTCAGTGCCCTCATGGCTGTGACTAGGATTCCCTTAGCCATTTCAGAGGGATGCCAGTGAGCTTACTGCCCTGAATACTGGCTGCCCACTGGCCCACCAGAGCAGATCATGCATGAAACTTCCTGTACATGTCCATGAGAGAATGGCACTGAGATATCCACCCACCTTTGGCTACTGGAAGCTGTTCTAAATAGCCATGGAAAGGGCTTTAAGACAAAGCTGACAGTTATGGGCAGGAGACAACAGAAATTGAATGATTAACACATGTTGGGAAGTCTGCATGGGACCTATTCCCACTGAAAACAGTTCTGTGAGACTGCTAAAAGAGGTGGCTGGAGCCTGGGGTCTGATGAAGATGCCCTGAAGAGAGAACAGGAACAAGCTAGATACAAATTATCCCTCGGTATCAAGACCGGTTTTGGATTGCTATGTAGATACTTCCGTGGCCAAATGAGCGTCTGGCATCCTACATTGTTGCTATCGCTGAAGACAAGAATTTCTGGTTCTGACAGACAATTTAAAATCCCTTTCCTAAAGAAGTCAGATAGGACCAAACTGCATTTTACCTTCCCTCCATGTCCAGACACCTCCTGTTGGCAAGCAGGATTTCTTCCTCCTCCTTCTGAATGCGAGCTTCCAGTGAGGTGTCATAGCTAGGGTTAGGTGAGTGGCTGATCACTGTCGTGTCCCTGAGAACAAGCAGTAGAGCAGATGAAGAACCAGCTAAGTTCAGTGCTTTCCTCCTAGCAGCACAAAATTATTGCTTAAAAGTAACAAACAAGAATATCCAATTTTTATGAGTTTAGGCTGGCTCAGTTCCTTCCAAAAATCCAACTCCCAGTCCTAATGAAAGACAGACTACAAAAATATGCAAGTCATTACAATAGTTAATCTATTCTCCATCCCAGGCCAGTCTGTAACTGATTCACTGTACTGTTGTAAACTAACTGGAGAAGCAAATCCAAGGACATGGGGATGGGGAAGGATGGCATAGAACAGCAGGCACTTCTCTTCCATTGAGGCAGCGCAAACTTTGCTTCATATATAAAGCTTTTTCCCTTCCCCTTCCAACAATTTCATACAGGGAGTCTGGTGATCAAAGGGAACTAGGCATGGAAGTTTCATATGCAATTCTAAGTCCAAAAAACTTGGAGTGGGCTGAAAACAGTTTTAAACTGACTCCACATAGTGCTTGATGTTAACAACGTGACAGTTGTTCAGTCCACTAACCAGAACATGATGAGTATTTCATACTTTGTCTTGCTGTTCAATCAGAATGAAGTCACTGTGCTGTGTTCTGTGTCACTGTATGATTCAACATTAAGAGCATGTTACTGACATAGCTCTATGCATTAGCATAATTAGAAGGAAACAAAAAAAACTGGAGTTACCAAGAACTCCAATTCCTTGTAGTAAGAAATCTGTTTTCTTTGACTCAGCTCTAATAACTGTCTGGAAAATGTACTTTTAACTCTGCAAAAGTTCAGAGCAGG